GTGCACAAGCCTGTGCCATGGTTGGCCTTGGGTGGTGAACACTATCCTTGGGCAGCGCGCACCACCATTTGGGAGGCGTGCGCCATCCCTCAACTAACGTGTCTTCGATCTTTGTGTCACCGTTACGTCGCTGTTGTCTCATCAGCCGTTCATTAGTCACGTTTGTTAGTCATCGCGTCGCGTCAATCTACTTTTTCCCTCCTTTCTCCTCATGGATTTGTGCTGCTTTGGCGAAAATCCAACAGTTCCTTTTTTCTATAAATAAGGACCATTCCCACCACTCCTTCATCATTTCATCTTCATTTTTCCATTCACTAAAGCAACTAGAGAGAGAGAGAGAGAGAGAGAGAGAGAGAGAGAGAGAGAGAGAGAGAGAGAGAGAAGGAAAGAAAGGAAGAAAAAAGGAGCATAGGAAAGACTTTAAGCTTTCGGTAAGGAAACTTGGTATTTATTTGCACGTTCTAAGTAGTATTTTTAGATTAATAAATGGAATATTGCATGAGTATGAAATGACTTGTTACATGTTTAATAATTGCTATAATTTTAATATATTTTCGCATATATTCCATGATATAACATGTTTGGTATATTGTACTAGTAGTTGTAAGTAAATAAGTAAATAAAATGAACATGATGGTGTGATAAGAATTGATGCAAGAAGCATAATGTTGTTTGACGAATAAGTGAAAATAAATGTTGACATTTGCATGCATGGTGTTTAAGTTAAACTCGTTAGACTTTTTATCTCTGATGGGTTCTGTTTCTCCCCCCATCTTGTTTGAAAAGACACGAGAGAATTGCTCCCTGTGGATGACGGTGTACCCTCTGACGAGAGTAGTTATGCGATATGATTGTAGGGGTCACCTTGGTAACATACATCCATGACTATAGTTTATATGTAGGACCACTGTGGTTGGCACGATCGTGGTCATAGAATGTGTCATGGTTTGGCAAGCCGTAAATATGTTGTGGTTTATCAAGCCGTAAATATGTTGAAAATGATATGAAATGAACTTTATCATTCCACAGTGGTAGTAGGGAATCCGTACTAAGGTCGGAATGGCTTCACACGAATGATAAGTAAATGATTTAAAGAAAGCATGATATGATTTGTTTGATTTTCTCTATTTTATACATGATATGATTATATGTTTAATATGATTGACTTGATGTTGATGTTTTTCTAAATAAAATAAAAAATTTTCTTTATTATTGAAATGGACCCGCATGCTCGTTCTTCGATGGTAAGCAATATTATTTCTAAGTAAAATCTTAGTAATGTCGATTAAATACTATTTTTCTTACTGAGTATATGGAACTCACTTTTTCCATGACTCCCTCTTCAGATGACAATGATAGTGAGGAACTGCTTGCTAACTTTTCCGTTGAAGGATTTGATGATCCTGTAGATCCATGAACCATTATGGGTGCATATTGTGTTCTACACTCTAATGAGTCCAATTTTTGGAGAGACTTGTATCTATTTTATTTCGCCTTAGTATTTTAAGATTTGGAATTCAATCTTTATTTTGTAAGGGATTGTAATATTTTGTTCCGCTACAT